ACACACATTTTTTTTTTTTTTGTACCAGGGATCAAACTCGGCCTTGCGTTTGCAAGGCAGGTGTGGTGCTACTGAGCTAAATCTCCGGCCCTTCTTAGGATAATTTTACATTTTGTGATTATTATATTTCACAACAGGGTGCTGAGCACAGATATGTAAGTGGCTATAATGAGAATGGTAATAGACTGAGGCCTGAGATTCTACTGGCAATAATGAGCTAGGAGACTTGAAACAAGTCCATTCACTCTGTAGATATCTCTCTCTCTCTCTCTCTCTCTCTCTCTCTCTCTCTCTCTCTCTCTCTCTTTCTCTTCCCTTTTTTGTGGTACTGTGGATTAAACCCAGGGCCTTCACACTGAGCTACATCCCCAACCATTTTTATTTTTTATTTTGAGACACAGTCTCACCCAGCCTGAGCTTGAACTTGCAGTCCTTGTGCCTCAGCCTCCTGGAATGCTGGGATACCAGATGTGTGCCACCTCACCTTCCCTTTCAATATATATAAAATGGCGAGAGGTCTTCTATCAACCTTTATGGGTCACCAACCCCTCTGAGGATATCGTGAAAATCACAAACCTTATCCTAGGAAGATATAAATATGCACATCATTTTGTACATAATTTCAGGGTTCACAGTGGTAAGGATCTTGTAGCTCTAGCATTCTATGATTCTACTTATAATTGGGGCATTAAAATATAGCTTGATCATTTTTATTTTTAATTAAAAGAAAATTTCTTTTTAAATGTATCTTGCCAAACTAGGCATTAGCTGTCATTTGGTCTTTTTGTATAGCAAAAGTAGCACCTTGCTCTTTAATAATGTGTGTCAGTAAGAGTTCCGAATCTCCAGACGTGGTGAAACACACCTGTAATCCCAGCACTTGGGAGACTGACACAGGGGATTGCTGTGAGTTCGAGCCCAGCCTGAACTACAAGGCAAAACGTTGTCTCAAAACAAAGAGTAATAAAGAGTGAATGAGCTTGATCAGAAGGCTCCCTGAAAGCATCCCACTCAACTGTGAGTGGTCTCCTTTAAATGTGGTCATTCTTCTTTTTCTTTTTTGTTTTGTTTTGAGGTACTGGGCCTTGAACCCAGGGCCTTTGGACTGAACTGCATCTGCAGCCCTTTTAAAATTAGTTAATTTATTTATTTTTATTTTTTATTTTGAGACAGGGTCTTGGTGCCTCAGGTTGGTCTTCCACTTGGATTCTCCTGCCCCAGCCCCCCAGAGTGCTGGGATTACAGGTGTGCACCACCACACCCAAGTCGTTTCTTACACTGTCTACAAAATTCAAACAGAACTAAAATGTTTATCCTGTGCATTGACCAGGGTAACTTCAGTTAGAGGCTTCTGCTATTTTGTCAGGGCCTCCCGGCTTGACACCCTTCAGCATTCTTTTGCCATAGGCACCCAAATATACAGGTAACTCCTTAGAACAGATGTGATCAAGGTCATCTCGTTCATCAGCTTCTCTCACCAGTGTGCTGAAGCATCCTCCTCCCTGATGTGCTCAGTAGGAGCTACTTGCTTCGTAGCTCCAATCTTTGAGGCAGATGCAACAGTCTTAGAGAGTCACATTCCCTGATGGATCTGGCCAAAGTTAAACAAAACATCTACAATTCTAGATAAGACCCATTTTCTTAAGCATCCTGGAAAAGCTATGCTGTGTTGGTCATATTCATTTCCTAGTGACACACTCTGGACTCGTGCAGTGTTCTTAGGGTCCAATGTATGATTGTACGGTCACTTTTACAGACTACCTCAGGCTGTTATATGACAGTGGAGTCTCTTGTCTTAACCCTGTCTCCTTTTCTTGACAGTGGATCTGATTGGTGGCTACAACATTGGTACCATCAGCCATGAGAGCCGTGTAGATTGGCTGGAGCTTAATGAGACTGGGCACAAACTCCTCTTCAGGGACCGGAAACTTCGTGTGAGGATTACTACGGTCTTAGGCCTTGGCTGGCCCACAGAGGGTGTGATACAAGCTTGTAGGGGTCTCTGCAGAGTATAATTTCTTCATTATATAGGCCAGTGATGGTGAACCTTTTAGAGCTTTCAATGATACAAACAGCCTGCTGTGGCATGTGTGCCATAGGCTTGCCATCCGTGCTATAGGCCATTAGCATAGTGGAAGGTACAAAATAATCAATAGTCTGTGTATCCAGTATGATAAAACTGTCTTATGTTATCCTCGAGGAGATTGTATTATGATAGTAACAGAGTCAGGAGGTGGGTTTGAGAGTTGATTTCTCTCTTACTGCTCACAAGACTATGTCTTCGTGAAACCTCCTTGCCTTGCCTTCCTCTTCCTTGTGCCTAGCTGACCTTGGCCCAGACCTGCTGCTCTAGTGCTGTTCAGCCCTACTTACCTGAAGTCATAGGAGTTGGCTCGAGGAGTTTCCCCCTTACCCTTCTCAATTATCATCTCAGTATGCTTTCACCGAAAAGTTCAGCCTTGGGATCAGAGAGACAATCTGATGATGATTGTTGATTTTAGTGAAAGCCGTGTCACAAATTTCCACATCATCTAATTTGTCTGTTGGCCTCAATTTTATAATCCAACCTGGTAAGTCTGGCCTAGAATCATTCTAAGAATGACAGGCTGGGAGCTGTGTACATTGAAGGACGTCAACTGCGGAATCTGTGGCTCTGGCGAGATTGAAATCATGGCAGGTCCAGAAGCCGACGCCCAGTACCAGTTCACTGGCATCAAAAAATATTTCAACTCTTACACTCTCACAGGTAGAATAAATTGTGTACTGGCCACATATGGAGGTGTTGCTCTGACGATCTTGTATTTCAAGTTAAGGTCTAAAAAAACAAAAACGCCAGCTGTGAAAGCAATGTAAGTGTGTTGGGAATCAAACCCAGGGCATTGTGCATGCTAGGATTTTACAGTATCTGATTTCATCTGTGAAGTTCCTGTGCCTGGAAGAGCTGTCACTCATCATGTAATACTCAGTTTGTACAATAAATTATGAACCTGGAAAAAAAAAAAAGAATGACAGGCTGACATAAGTCTTTGTTGTTTTGGTCATCTCTTATTTGACCAGAGTTAGGCTACATCAACTCTGCATAAACTTTAAGGGCTTCGAGTCATTAAGCTTTGAAATTCATCAGGTACTGGCTAGTGGGTCTTTTTACCATTGGAGAAATGATCAAATTAGAAGATACTGTCTCACCCCCTTCTAATTGTACTGTGTGTCTCCTCCTTTTTCAGTTGCATCTGTATGATATTGAAAGCTGCTCTAAGACAATGATCCTCAACTTCTGCTCCTACGTACAGTGGGTTCCTGGAAGTGATGTCCTGGTAGCTCAGAACAGAAACAACTTGTGTGTGTGGTACAATATTGAGGCACCTGAGAGGGTCACCATGTTCTCCATCAGGGTACGTTGACAACAGGGGACATCCAACATGGCTCAAGCTAATGAATTTGAGCCCCAAGGAGACTGAAGTTTGCATGGTTTTCTCTGCCCACCACCCATAATCTTTGTGGTGGAGTTGGCAAGGGAAGCTTCGACCCCTTCCCCATGGGAGACTGGTCTCCACAACCATCTTTGTTCAGATTCCTGACATTGTGTTAGACCACTAGAGGAGGGGACTCCATTGCAGTGGCCCTGGGACTTCACCAAGTCATAAAGTGGCATTCTTTCTGTTGCTAAAAGGCAGATCCTGATAGTAATCTTCTAAAATCTGGGAGGAGTCTATGAGAGCAGAGAAGAGATATGGGCCCTGTGTTAGGCTAGTGATGGGTGTGTGTGTGGATAGACCTGATGCCTTTGTGTGTGTGTGGTGCTGGGACTTGAACCCAGGGCTTCGTGCATGCTAGGCAAGTACTCGTGCATTGAACCATTCCCTCAGCCCTGGTGTGTTTTTTTATGTTTTTAATACTCTTCTTTTTTCTCCTTTCTTGCCTCATTTTAGACTGAGGTCTAAACTTTATTTGTTTGGGTTTTTTTTGGAACCAGGGATCGAACTTGGGTCCTTGTGCTTGCGCAGCAGGCAGCGAAACCACTGAGCTAAATCCCCGGCCCCCTTTATTTGTTGTTTAAAAATACCTTTTTCCACATTTAGAAGTTATACTATACATCCTATTTCTGAGGAGGTTACCTTTGGAAGTTTAACGGGTACTTAAAGTTTCAAGAAAATCACCATTTTACTTTGTCTTCCCTGAAAATGATACAAAGACAATCCTTAAACTTTGCTCAACTCCCTTTGCCATTGTTGTGCTTCTCTCTCTTTCTTGTCCCTCCCTCCCTCCTTCCCTCCCTCCCCCCCTTCTTTCTCTCTCTCTCTCTCTCTCTCTCTCTCTCTCTCTTTCTTGTTTTTTCTGAGACAGGGTCTCACTGTGTAGCTCAGGCTTGCCTTGAACTCACAGTGATCCTACCTCAACCTACTGAGAGAGCTAACCTTTTTAGGTCCCTAAGTTGGACATTAGTATTTTATACAAACATCATTTAGACTTACCTATTTCTTTTTTCACCTTTTCTTTTTGCAGTGCTAGTCTCACCTCTAGAATTATTTTTCTTTGGTTTGAAGAATAACACTTAGAAATTTCTTTATTGAAAGTCTCTCTATCTGGGCCCAGTGGCACATGCCTATAATCTCAGCTGCTTGGGAGCTGACACAGCAGGATCATAAGTTCAACGCCAGCCTGGGCAACTTGGCAAGACCTTGTATCAAAAAATGAAACAAAATGGGGCTGAGGATTTAGCTCAGTGGTTTTGCCGCCTGCTGTGCAAGCGCAAGGACCCGAGTTTGATCCCTGGTACCTAAATTAATTAATTAATTAATTAAAATAAAATATAAATAAAACAAAATAGAGCTGAGACATGTAGCTCAGTGGTGGAGCATTTGGTTAGCATGGACAAGGCCCTGGGTTCAATCCTTAGTACCACAAAGGGAAAAAAAGGCCTCCTCAGTGGAAGATGGTAAGCTATCTTTTTAATTATCTGAAAACATTTTTATTAAGCTTTTGGACTCAGTACCCAATTCTAGATTGACAGTTAACTTTTCTCAGCCTTTTGTAAATGTTATCCCAGCAATTGACTTTCACTGTTACTCTGAGCAATTTATTAGCAGCCTTTGATCTCTCTTTTTTCTTTGGTTGCTTTAAAAAAAAAAATCTGGCCTCGAACACATGGAGATTGTTCTGCCTCAGTCTCCAGAGTGCTGGAACACCACACCCAGTTCTTAAATGTTTTGAAGGTTCATTACAGTGTCTCTAGATGCAAATCTCTGTCTGTCTCTGCCTCTGTGATTTTTTGTCTCTCTGCATGTGTCTCTCTTTGTGTCTGTGTCTCTCTCTCTCAGATTTCGCTATGCTGCCCAGGCTGGCCTCAAACTCCTGGGCTCAAGTCATCCTCCCACCTTTTCTTCCCAAGTAGCTAGGACCACAGACACATGCCACCATGCCCAGCCATCTGTGTGTATTTATAGATACGTTATGGGGGGCAGTGCTAGGGCTCAAACCCAGGGACCTACAGATGCTAGGCATGGGCTCTACCACTGAGCTACACTCCTAGCCCTTCCATTTCATCTTTTAGGTCTTTAAGTATTTCATACATGATTATGTTATATCACATAATGATTATTTTTAAAATTCCAATGCATTAACCATAACTTACTCTTACAAATTTTTCTTTTTTTTCTTTTTTTTGCGGCACCAGGGATCAAACTCGTAACTTATTCTTATTTCTGAAATTCTTGAAGGTCTAAATCTGTTTTTATAGTTACTATTTACTCTTTCATGAAGTGGTTTGTTAAGTTTTGGTTTTTGTTACTGTGACCTCATGTGGTTTTCTTGTTGTTGTTGTTCGTTTGTTTTTTCCGGTACTGGGAATTGAACTCAGGACCTTGTGCTTGCCAGGCAGGTATGGCGCCACTGAGCTACATTCCTGACCCAAGCTCATGTTATTTTGGATGTAATATTTTGAAATCTTGAAAACCTAAAACAGACGTGTTTTCCACCACAGATATTTGTGTTTGCTTCTGCAGGAATCAGGCATGTTAATGATCTGTACCACTTGCTTCTATTCTCTTCTCTGGAAAATGGACCTTGGGTTTAATTAGAGATTTTCAGATTCAACCTCGCCATCCTGCTCAAAGCTTAAGGTTTCTTCTGTACTGTGTTTGCCTTCAGAGCAGCTGTACCTTTCCCACTTGCTCATTGCCATTTTTCCTGCCCAGATTTTAGCTTACTGAGTTTTTTCCTTCTGTCTGATCTTTTTCTGAGAGGGATGGGTTGGAAACACTGACAGTGTTTTCAGGTGAGCTCAGCTCAGATTCAAGTTGTTTTTAACAGAAGAACCCTGAGTATACCCACTTTTGTTACTGCTGGAAGAAGTAGATGCCACACTTTGTCAACATACCTCAGGCACCTGCGCCATCCCGAGTGTACTTTAAGGATAGGATATTGCCATAGATACGATGCACTTCTCTGCTGGAGAAGAATGAAAATGTTAGGGAAACATGAGTGTGAGCACCGTGGCTGGGTGAGGGTGAGTCTGTTCTGCAGCTGACTCGGTGGACATGCTAACCTGGAATTGGGCGGGCCGGGGAATGAACTGTTACAGGGTGACGTCATAGGTCTGGAGCGCAGCGGGGGAAAGACCCAGGTGATGGTGACAGAAGGTGTGACCACCGTTGCCTGCACGCTGGATGAGGGCCTCATTGAGTTTGGAACAGCCATCGATGACGGCAACTACACCCGGTGAGAGGCTGCTGCTAACTGGTGCAGCAGCGGGAGGCCGCGCCTGAGAGGGGCAGCTGGGATGGCTGTGAAGCTGGCCACATCTAATCAGGGCGGAGCACTGCAGGGAGGAGACTAAACAAAGTGGGCAAATAATTGCCCAGCCCCTCCCATCCCCTGCCCAGGACAGATTAACCTGTGTCTTCTGGTTCCTGCCCTCACTCTGTGCTTTGCTTTCTTCCCTCTCCAGAGCAACAGTCTTCTTGGAGACCCTACAGATGACCCCCGAAACAGAGGCTATGTGGAAAACCTTGAGTAAACTGGCGCTGGAGGCAAGGCAGCTCCACATAGCTGAGAGGTGAGGCAGGTGCAGACCTGAGGTGCTCAGCAGCTGTCGGGGCTGCCCCAGGCCAGCTCACCTGTGGGCTGCTCCTGCCCAGTGTTTGGGGCCTGCTTTCCTTCCACTGCCAACAAGTGTGAGAGCCCTTCCCTGGTGTCCTTATCCCAGATAAAGATCCATCCCAGATTATGGTGTCTCGTATCATTTCTGCTTCCCCTTCTTGCACCTAGGTGCATGCCCCTTAAGAGTTTTTAACCTCATAGCCCTCAGCCCATACACCAGCGAGTCTCTTCTGGGTGTGGTGCAAGAGTAGAGTTAGTAGGATGAAGCTAGGACTCCAGATACCTTGACTTCAAACCTTAGTTCACATTGCAAACCTGGATGACCTTAGAGAGCTTAGAGCCCTTCCTAAAGCTCGGCCTTGTGCTTTTGCACATACAGGTCAGATAATAATGGTATTGACTCGTAGGATGGTAGAGAAGAGGGGCAGTGGTAGCGATAGTGAAGACAAGTTGGAGAATCTGTGCGAAGAGCATGTGACTTTCCAGTGCTGAGGCAGTGCGCGCTGCTGCTGTCTGGCAAGGAGGAGCTGGCCCTGAGCTCTTTTTCCCTTGCCCCCCCCACAGACTCCCAGCAGGTCCCGGGGACTGTCTTCTAGTGTATCCCACATCTCATGCCGGTCCCACCCAACGTCTCCCCCTTAGCATGGATCATGCCGTCCCCTCCCTGCGCTCTTGTGAAGCCTCTTAATTAGCCCCACTGTTCCGGTCTTGTCTTCTGTTTTTACGGTGCTGGGTATGGAACCCATAGCCTTGCACACGCCAGGCAGATGCCCCACCACCGAGCTCCATCCCTAGCCTTGGTACCAGTCTTGTACTCCTGCACTCCATCCACACCATAGCAGATGAGGTCATTTTTTAGAAACACAGATTGTGTCACGTTTATGCTCAGAACCTTCTAGTAGCTTACTGTTACACTTAGTAAAGGCCCAGACTCCTTGGGGTGGCCTGTGTCCTCTGCCACCTTCCCATGCCAGTTACCCACCTGTCCATAGTCTCCAACCACACGGGCGTCCTCTTGGCCCTTTGAGCACACTAGGCTTATTCTTACTGCGTGCCTTGAGCCTCTCCCTTCCTGGAAGGACTCCTGCATCATCACATCACCACTGGCTCTTTGTCATGGTCAGGCCTCAGCTCAAACACTGGTGCCTCAAAGAGGCCTTCTCCAACTCTAATTTAAATGGATCCCTCCATTACTGATGAGTATCACCCTGCTGTATTTCACTTTTGTTCTCCCAACTCATCTTTTTTTTTTTTTTTTTTTGGTGCCAGGGATTGATCTCGGGTCCTTGCACTTGCGAAGCAGGCAGCGAAACCACTGAGCTAAATCCCTAGCCTTCATCTTTATTAATTTGTTTACTATTAGTTTGTCTCCACTGGGATGGAAGTTCCCTGAGGGCAAGACTTGCATCTTCCTTATTCCCTGTCGGGCCTCCAGTGACGAGAACAGTACTTGACCTCTAACAGTGCACACTGTATGTTTGCTGAATCAGTGACTTAATAATGTGCCTGTAATAATATTACTTTTGATGTCATTCCCTCCACACTATAGGTGCTTTTCTGCTTTGGGTCATGTGGCAAAAGCTCGATTCCTGCATGAGACCAATGAGATCGCAGATCAGGTGTCCTGGGAATTTGCAAGTATCATTTTGGTTCATTCAATCTCCCAAGCTAAGATTTTTCTTAGTATTTTTTAAGGAGTAAAAATATCTATGTTAGTACGTTTGCAGTACACAGCTTTTACATTCATCATGGGGAGTTGGTACATGCACATAACACATCTTTTTTTATAGCAGAACGTTTATTGGTGCCTTTTAGGCATACATAATGTCAACGCTCATCACAGGGAATCTGCACCTCTACCTGATAGATCCCGCGTCTTCCTCTCCCCCCTCCCCTCAAGCCCCCTTCCATCCTTATATACAAAAGCTGTATTTCCATTTTTCCTTCTATTTTCACTTTTTTTCTTATCCCTTCCTTCCTTTCTCCCCGCCCCCTTGTTCCCATCCCATTTGAACATTTTCTTCCCATTTCCCAATATCTATTATACATTTTAGTCCTCATTTCCACTTTCAGTTTCTCATACCAGAGAAACAATATGGTATTTAAACACGTGTGTCCAATTTATTTCACTTGAGGTATGGTCTCAAGGTCCATCCGTTTAGCTATAAATGTCTGAAACTCATCCTTCTTTATGGCAGAGTGGTACTCCACTGTCTAAAAAACCCACATCTTCTTTATCCATTAGACAGCATAACACATTTTAAGTCTTTTTCTCTTAGTATTCAGCCCCACGATTCCTAGCTTTCCAGGCATCCCTAGTTTCTTCTACACTCCCCACCCCTCCTCTACCCTCAAGGTGGACCATTTTGGAATTGCTTGTGAATCCTCAGGCCTCTAAACCCCTGGAAGGTTTTCAGCTTTTCCAGTCTGTTAGCTGTCCCTGACCTTCTGGCCTGCCTATCCCAGCTTATGTAGACCTGAGCCTCATTTTTCCCTGCAGGGTGGAGAAGGAACAGACTTCTATCAGGTCCGAGCACGTCTGGCCATGCTGGAGAAGAACTACAAACTGGCTGAAATGATCTTCTTGGAACAGGTAAAAGGGGAACAGAGAGACAGGATAGAATAGAGGATCGGGGTGGGGAGGGAGGCAAACTCAGGAGGAAAGAGCTCAGTCCACTGGACTTCCGAAGGCTTGAGGGAGAACTTCTGGAAAGGGTTAGAGTTCACTTAGCTCCTTCCTTAATTTCCTCTCTTGTGCTAGTCTTTAGGTAAGACTTCCCCTTTGGGCTTTAATATCCTCTTCCTTTCTTTTGGAGACAGTCTCACCATGTAGTTCAGGCTGGCCTTGAACTCACTGTGTAGCCCAGGCTGGCCTCAAAGTCACAGCAGTCTCCCACCTCAGCCTCCTGAGTGTTGGGGTTACAGGCACCCACCACCACTCCTGGCCCTTGTTTTGGTAATTCTTGCACATGAGTTCCGTCTGTATTTTGTGGGTCCCAAAACTTATTCAGCCTGAAGAGCCCTGTTGAAAGGTTTGTGCACATGAGGAGCCCTGAAACTTAAGTTTCTTTCAGTTTTCATGCAAATCCACCTGTGGGCTGGAGTTGTGGCTCGGTGGTAGAGCATGTGCCTAGCATGCACGAGGCCCTGGGTTTGCCCCCAGGACCACCAAAGAGACGGAGTCAGAGACAGATATAGAGTGAGGTGTGTGCAGCAGTTAAAGGATGAGGGGCGAGGTGCTTGGTCCCCATGGCCTGGCGTTGCAGCCGTGCTGAACAGGGCGTGCTGACTTTTGATCCTCATGTCTTCCCTCTTCTTTTCTCCTGCCTGATTTCCCTAGAATGCTGTTGAGGAGGCTATGAACATGTACCAAGAGCTACACCGTTGGGACGAGTGTATCGCTGTGGCTGAGGCCAAGGTACAGGATGTGTCTTCTTCAGACTCTTGAGAATCTGGTTCCACTGATTTCGGAAAACTGCTTTTGTCAGGAAAGCTATTGGAAGCAGGATAAGTTTGGGGGTCTGAGAGGATAAGGAGTTGGGATACGGTGACCTGGGAGGATTTGCACTGTTACAGAGGGACTGGAGAAGCACGGAAAGCAGGACAAGGAGGGCTCTGATGCCGGGCTCCTCTGCATGTGCAGGGACATCCAGCCCTGGAGAAGCTGCGCCGGGATTACTACCAGTGGCTGATGGACACGCAGCAAGAGGAGCGAGCAGGTGAACTTCAGGAGAGCCAAGGGGATGGGCTGGCAGCCATCAGCCTGTACCTCAAAGCTGGGCTTCCCGCCAAAGCGGCTCGCCTGGTGCTGACCCGAGAGGAGCTGCTGGCCACCACAGAGCTGGTGGAGCACATCACCACGGCCCTCATCCAGGGGGACCTCCACGAGAGGGTACGGCTGGCTTGGTTTCCCCAACCCTCGTCTCCAGGGCTCCGTCCCCTCTCCCATCCAGGGGAATCCTGGGGTGCATAGGCCTCCCTGACTGCTGACATTCCTTCTTCCTGGAGCTGATTCTCGATTCCTTGTGTTGTAGCAGTTTCATTGTATATATGTGTTAACAGGCAGGTGACCTCTTTGAGAAGATTAGAAATCCACAGCGGGCCCTTGAGTGCTATTGTAAAGGCAACGCATTCATGAAAGGTACTAGCCACCCACAAGCCGTCCTTTACTATCGTGCACTTTTGCCCATCCAGTCCCTGGCGCCTCTTGCGGGACATGTATTCCAGTTGACTGGCTTGAGTGTTCTTCCGTTCCTCCACTTCTCATCTATTCTCCATGCTTCATTTCCTGGTTCCATTGTCCTGAGTCCCGTGCCTGGATTCCGAGCCCAGTACCTTCTCTGTCCCTGGCAGCTGTAGAGCTGGCTCGATCGGCCTTCCCCATGGAGGTGGTGAGACTGGAGGAGGCATGGGGGGACCACTTGGTGCAGCAGAAGCAGCTTGATGCCGCCATTAATCATTACATCGAAGCCAGGTATGGCAGCATGGGAGTGAGTGGAGATTTGGGAGAGAAGTGAGAGGTGGTGGGCAAGGGAAGACACCAAGTCTGAAAGAAGAGATCTCAGACTATAGGCGGGGCCCCAGGAGCGAGTGCTCCATGCTAGAGCACTGGCCTGGTACACACGAAGCCCTGGTTTGATCTCCAGCTCAGCAAAAAAATAAAAACTTAAGCTAAAGTGTGGATGAGGAGTTTCTTCCACTCATCCTCTTTCCTCATGCGTATTTATATCTTTCCCAACACTGCCAGGTGCTCCATTAAGGCAATTGAGGCTGCCCTGGGTGCCCGCCAGTGGAAGAAGGCAATTTATATCTTAGATCTACAGGACCGGAACACTGCATCCAAATACTATCCTCGAGTGGCCCAACACTATGCGTCTCTGCAGGAGTATGAGGTGAGGAAGAAGCCCTTCTGCAGCATGAGGCAATGCAGAGCAGGGTGTGAGGAGAGCACCCACAACAGGAAGTGGGGCCAGCTCACCAAATGCTTCTTGGCCAGGCCCAAACAGCAGTACCGCTGTGAATAGGAGGAAAGGGCCTACTGCCCTGGTTTCATCCCTGTGTGACACAGACACCCCAACCCCAGATTATAACGTGATCTCTAGCTGTCTTCCTGTGCCAGCTCCAGTGATTCTTCATGGATGACTCTATCATAACTTCCATGTAGAACTGCCTTGTTCTGCACAAATACGAGGGCCTTAAAAATTCTGTCATGTTGCCCCATACTGCTTTGAGCTGGTCTTTGCTATAAACAGTGTAGGTGTTATTCACCGATACCCATCTCTTCCTCCCAGGCTGTCCACCATCCCAGCTGGGGTTTGTTCCTTCCTCCTGCAAGCTGCTGTAATTCTGTTGCTCTGAGCCTTTGTGTCTCCCTCTCGTCAACTCCAGATTGCCGAGGAGCTCTACATTAAGGGAGACCGGATCAAAGATGCTATAGACATGTACACCCAGGCTGGCCACTGGGAGCAAGCACACAAGGTAGCAAATGGGTGGAGTCCTTGCTGCAGAACTCTGCCTTATTCCTCGGCCTCTGACCTCCCTCCTTCACTGACTTCCCTGAAAGCTGTGAAAGTAACCAAACGGGCCGGGGATGTAGCTCAGTAGCACTGCACCTGCCTGGCAAGCATAAGGTCCTGAGTTCGATTCCCAGTAACTGATCCCTCATCACAGGGAAAGATGAGATGAGGAAAGGCCTCTGGCCCTGAGCCTTTAAGTCTGAAGAGGGCAGATGGGTTTGGGGGCTGAGCAATCTGAACTACCATTCCCAAGCTTCTGGTTACTTGGTAACTTTGTTCTCACCACTCCATCCCTGAGTGCAGTGAGCGTAGCAGGAGCATGGTAATGGGTGCGCCTGCCCCGAGCACAGGCCCCACATGCCCTCCTGCCTTAGCATACTGTGGGCTGCCTGTGGTCCTGCTGGATTTGTAATTCCCTGATCTGACTAGTAGAGTGGCAGTAACCAGCGTCCCGTGACTTGTGGGTGAGTTGCAGTTCCTGAACAGACAGGTTCCCCTGAGGCCCTGCCTCCCCTGTGAATTGGTACCTCGTGTCTCTGCACAGCTGGCGATGAAATGCATGCGACCAGAAGATGTGTCAGTGCTGTACATCACTCAGGCCCAGGAAATGGAGAGGCAGGGCAAGTACCGCGAGGCTGAAAGGTGAGCTGTGGCCTCAGAGGAGGCGTGGAGGCAGGTGAGGCATCAGAGCTGGGAGGAAGGGTGGCATCAGAAGATGCATCCCCCTGCCCAGATGCCATGGCAGCAGGGCTCTAGCTGTACGAAGCCCCGGGTCTCTGCTATCCCCAGGCTCTATGTGACAGTGGAAGAGCCTGATCTTGCCATCACCATGTTCAAAAAGCACAAGTTGTATGATGACATGATCCGGCTGGTAGGAAAGCACCACCCAGATCTACGCAGTGACACGCACCTCCACCTGGGCAAGGTGAGCCCCCTCCCGGCCCTGCCCGCTCTTTGCCCACCAGGCTTCCTCTCCCCATCTCCATCCGGACCCCCTTCCTGCAGGAGCTGGAGGCTGAAGGCCGACTGCAGGAGGCAGAGTATCACTACCTCGAGGCCCAGGAGTGGAAGGCAACAGTAAATATGTACCGGTCCAGCGGGCTTTGGGAAGAGGCCTACCGGGTAAGGGGTCCAGGGCCACTCTGGGGTTCCAGCGGTCCTTTCCCACTCTCGTGTGACTAATTCTAAACGGGGCAGACCATCTTTGAAATGCAATGCAAACCAGTCTCTCTCGTTAGAAATATGTTCACACCCATGTGCACAAACTTTAATTTGTAATTTTAAGGGTTTGCGGACTTCCTGAAGCTGGTCCTTGCTCCCTGTGTACATCAGCCTAAGTTAAGAGACCGTGACACTTGGCCACCTGATCTGCATCACAGCTGGGACCGTGAGGGCAGAGATGGAAGGGAGCAACTCTGCAGTGGAGGATTATTCAGTGGTTTTGCTCTACAGGTGGCCAAGACTCATGGAGGAGCGAATGCCCATAAGCACGTGGCCTACCTGTGGGCAAAGAGCCTGGGAGGAGAGGCTGCAGTGAGACTGCTTCACAAGCTGGGACTCCTGGAAGCCGCTATTGACCATGCTGCCGAAAACTGGTGAGGCCTAATACCTTCTCCATGGGCCCCTGTATGAGAAACATGTCCAAAACCCAAAGCAAGCATGAAGAAATGCA